TAACGGATTAGCACTTCATGCTAACAGGCATGCTAACGGATTAGCACTTCATGCTAACAGGCATGCTAACGGATTAGCACTTCATGCTAACAGGCATGCCAAAGGATTAGCACTTCATGCTAACAGGCATGCTAACGGATTAGCACTTCATGCTAACAGGCATCCTAACGGATTAGCACTTCATGCTAACAGGCATGCTAACGGATTAGCACTTTATGCTAACAGATTAGCACTTCATGCTAACAAATTAGCATTACCTGCTAACAGAACTTTTTTCTTTGGTTATACATATATCATGTAATATCATTGGTTGTTTATATGCTAAGTTACTGTAGTATACAAGCTGCACACTTGTTTCAAGTTTAATTACATGACTATAAGTCTGAAATAGAGCCAAAATATTAAAACCTTTACTCATAATTTGTAAAATTTTACAGTTTACTGGTAATCAAAACTTGGTTTCACCAATTGTGTTGTCACTTGATTGTAAGCAAAGGGAAAAGGGAAAGAAGCGGATATGAAATACTTGTATGTTAAAAATACTATTTTTAACACATTTATCATAATCGTTTCCCTTTCCCCACCTTTAGTTTGAACCTTGCTTATAGTCAACTTACAACAACACAAAGTAATGTAAGGGTTGGGGGGGGNGTGGCAGTCAGCAAAAGAAAGTGGAAGTGGTCACACTACAAAAATTCAAGTCAATTCCATGGTTCGGTGATTTTCAAAGTATTGAATTTTACATAAGGCATGTGTTAGCAGAGATTCAACTGTACATGTATGTGTAGTCTTGTTAACTCCTGTTTATAGTTCATCTGTTTTCCTAGAAAGAAAAATATGTGGGTTTTGTGGTGTATATACTGTACATGTAATTATTATTTAGACCATTTTTTCATATGCATGGCCCATTTCTTTAGGACCCACGTGTTTTGGATGCAATGATGCCTTACTCAGTGTCCTATTATGGAAACCCACATTCTCGTACACACACTTATGGCTGGGAAAGCGAGCAAGCTGTAGAACATGCCAGAAAGGTAAATACACGTACCGCTACACCTGTGATGAGTGTCGTGAATCATTGACTACAGCTCTAACTTCAGATATTTACATGTTCTATGTAACAAGCTATACAATGGAATCCCGATTTCTCGAACCCTCATTTTTTCGAACCTCCTGTTAACTTGAACCAAAAGTTGTCTCCCTCTCCTCAGTTGAACACTGTAATTTTACCTTGATTTCTTGAACTGTTCAATTTTTTGAACCAGTTTTCGTTGCCCTTGGAGGTTCAAAAATCGGTTTCCACTGTATTCACGTATTCATTTACAGTCTACTGCTCAATACAGTGTATATATTTGACAGAAGTGACACGTACCTAATCCCGCCTAAAAGTCTGTGATCCAAACAACTTCTGAAACCCTAGATCCTGGTGTCATTTGCTTGGGCAAGAAACCAGTTACTATCTGATTACCAGTATTGCAATAGCTTTGTCTGTCCAGAAGGGTACTATAATTATACTGACCAAATTGGGTGTCTGAAAAACCTGAATAGCGAATAGTCGCAAATAGCGAATAGCGAATAGCGAATAGTCCCAAAGAGTGCAAATAGTCTCGAAAAGTGCGAATAGTGGCGAACAGTCACAAGAAGTGGCGAATAGTGATGAATAGTCGTCAATAGTGACTGCTGTAGATTGAATATCCTGTGTAATTAATTATCCAAATAAGCAACAGAATTTCAGTGAATTTGTTACCTTTTCTTCTCCGGACTCAGGCTAGGGCTGTCCATTGTGGACGTTAAGAAAACAGAAAACACAAAAGACGTATTTACACTTTTGCAGCGGTTAAAACAGAAGAAATTACGTGTAGAAACACCTTTCTCCTGATAAGCCTCTGTGCTTTTTAGTGGGAAAATCCCATCCTACATTGCTGCAAGGTTGACTGCAAGATACTGGCATGGGTACCCTATTTGCTACGATTTGCTGCTATTTGCCATTATTTGCCACTATCCACCACTATTCGAGACTGTTCACCACTATTGGCACTATTTGAGACTATTTGCTATTAGCTGTTTGCTATTTGTGACTATTCGCTATTCATGACTATTCGCTGTTCGCTATTCACTATTCACGACAATTCGCTTTTCGCTATTTGCGAGTATTCGCTATTCACTATTTGGTTTTCCAGACACCCAACCAAATTTGCTCAGGGAATCTGACAAGATACATGTATAATTACAGTGCAGCTCAGATATATCCGAACCAAAATATACGCGTAATGCGCGTCAGCCCAATACGCGTATACGCGTATGCATATACGCGTAT